TAATTTTTTAGAAAACGCCAAGTTTAAATAGAGTATGCCCTACTCATAATAATAAAAAAATGGAAGATAGGTTTGTGTGCGTTGATTGTATTGAAGATCGCTCCAAATGTAAATTTAGAACGATTAAAAAAGTAAATTAAGAATGGAATCATACAAAAAACCAATATTAAAGAGATAAGAAAAATAAGAAGAATTGAATCAATAAATTGCAATTATGAGAAAGAATAACAACCTATAACTTAATGAAATTAGTGAAAAATTAATCACCGAATTTTCTCTCCCAATAAATAAAACAGGTGAAATTTGTAAATTTCAATAAACATCTATGAAAGGATTAAGCTAAGAAGAATTGTTTTCAAATATTAGCTATTTGATTTAATATGATAAAGAAAATTTGGGTTAAGATTCCAAAATTGAGTCTGTGAAATCTAAAGATTCTTTATTTTTAATAGAGATTGAAAGCAGATTGGGACACTTAATATATATGATTAATTAGACATTTAAGAGTCAATTAATATTTTACAAGATATTTAAAGTATTAAAAATTCATATTCTTTTAGATGATAATCAAATTCAAGGGATTGTCTTATTACCATAATAACTTTAAGAAAACACAAAAATAAATTAAGAGTAAATGATAGTAAAACAAAAGTTATTATCTATGAACTTATTTACTTTTCTCAAGACTCTACAAAGGTCAAAAATATAAATTGTTCCATTATATATTAGATAATAATTTGAATTCTTATCCTCAAAAGTCACTATATTCAGCACTTACATACAATCTCTTAATTATGCAAGTAAGAATTTTAAAGATTAGGCTGTATCTTTCCTTACACATTAAGGATCTGATGCAGAGTATGTTTTAAATAATTTTTATCCCTGAATTCAATCAAAACTGTTACTTTATTAAATTACTTTAATGCTTTATTCCGTTACATTCTTGTAAATTACTTATGGTTTGTTTTCCACTTACTAGATACTTGCTGGTTGATCCCAGAATTTTACTCCTGGTTTTGCTTAACCTTATTACTTTTTATCAGCCATTATAATTTAATAACTGATTAATTCTTCTCAATTTAAGGGCAGATGCCCTATTCATAATCTAATAAAGATTGAGAGCATAAGTAATTGAAAAATCATAGGGGATTAATGAATAAGATATTGGAATTAATGATTTAGCTATTCAAATATATCTTCAATGTTAATCAATTCTATAAGCCAAAAAAATAATAATAAATAATTAATAGATACAAAAAGTTTATTCCAACTCTAAATATGATAAAATGAAAGAAAAACTTATTTTAATTTTGAATAAAAAAAGCATTATCTATCATTCTAGCATCAATAACTGTATATATATGAGGAGTGATAATATTATTGTATTTTCTGAAGGGATCTGCATGCTTCCTGCAATTAAACTAAATAACCCTTTAACCTTGCTCTGAAAAGCTGAATTCTTTTCGTTAGTAAGAAGATTAATAGGAACTCCAAAAATCTCTATTTTATCGATAGTATTCAAAATTATATTCATTTTATTAATATTTATTTAGCCTATAATAAATATTATAATTCCACCCACTCATATAAAATTCTTGGAAGTTTCTTATCAATCTAAAAACAGAGTCTATTCATTGTTCTCCTTTAATATAGATTCATATATTCAAATTAAGAAATATTAATAGTTTAGTTTTCTACCTATTCACATCAATATGCTATATCAAAATATTTATACTTATTTCTTCTTTATATGGCCTACGATATATTTCCTGATTGCTATATCTTCTTCAAAAAATTTGTTACACTCTCATCTGATTACTACTGTACTTACTAAAAACTCAACTCTATGGAAATTTCCTTTATTTCTTAAATTACTTTTTTTATACTCTCCAAGCTTCATTTAACAATAACTTTCACTTTCACTTAAACTATAATTATCATTTCTTATATCCATACATTTTTACAAATACTAAATAATTCTCTTTTATTTTTTAAATGAATACCTATCACTTAAATCATGAATTAATTTCTGAAAATAGATCATCAGCTCATCAATTCTTTTTAAATGCAAAATATTAGGATTGGGACTTCAATTTTTGAAAAACCTTCTGTTGATTACTTCAAAGTAGAGTTTTCAATTCTTTTCTTTTAATACTTGAAAATTATCTATTTTATTACATTTAAGTGATTTCTTCTATTCAATCTAACCATTTCTTCCATCAAGATATCTTGCTTCATCATTATATTTTAATTAAAATAATCAATTTTTTAAAGAATTAGATGTAAAATTAAACTTTTACATTCTTTTTTCTTAATATTAAAAATATCAACAACTTTTATTCTAAATCACAAATTGAGTAAAGATTATATGTTGTCTCAAATATAATAGTGTTTCTTCTTCCAATAGATGAATTTTACTACACATAATATAGAAATTTATTATTCTATTTTAGATATTTATTTTGTTAATTTCTAAAATAATTTAATTTAATTAGCATAAGATTAAGATTAATAATTTACTGTTATTTAAAATTTGGTTTAAATTGAAAATGTTTAATATTATAATTTAACAATTAATTCTATCTTAATATTTCAAACAATATTTGAATTAAATTTAAATTGAAATCTTTTACTGCTAAATTTAATATTTTGATTCTCCCAATATAGGCAGAAATTAATTATTAGATTACCCTGAAAATAATTATAATAACAATTTTATCCATTTCTTTATTATAGTATTTCAGTCTTTTCTCCTTTTACTTAAAAATAGAAAATTTTTAAGTAAAAAAAATAAATTCTTCTTTCATTTTACAATAAACGAAAGAAAATTATGTGATTATTTTAATTTTTGATGCAAGATCAAAAACTTCAATAGATAATTTTTTAAAATAGATTTAGGCTATTTGTAAGATTTGATGTTAGCCTATTTAATAACAGGATCACTTATAAAATTTAATCCTCATTCTCTTTAGCTTTAGTAGTAATCTTATGAGTTTCAATTTTGAGAATGAATCTAATTGTTTTAACTAAATATTTATCAAAATTTAAAATGCAAAGAGAGATTAAATTAAAAGTCAAGATTTTTTTTAATTTTTAATGATTAGAATTAAACTGAAAGCAACTAATTTATCCATCGAAAGATATCCATTTCAACTAATGTTCCTTTTTTTCTTATTTAAATATAAAGTTATCTATATTAGATGAAAGATTCTTTAATTGTGATTATATTCAAAATTAAAAAAAATAGTAAACAAAAATCATGAATAATATACTGACAAATTAAAAAGCGATTAACTATGAAATTAATCGAAAAAGTAAAATTCAAGCAAAATAAATAGAAATGAAATAAATGCAAAAATAATAGACTAATACTTTTAGAGAAGGCATTATTATAAATTCATTTGTAAGCTGAATAATATAATAAAGAATTCTTTTTCGAATTCATTGAAATCTAATATCAAAACTTAATTCTAATTTAGATAGAAATAAAATAAAAGAATTTATTTAAATGAATCAAAGATGAATTTTATAAACCTTTTTATTTCTATAAAAAATTTGAAATGTATTCTAATAGTAGGGATCAAAATGACAAAAAGCTTGAAAATTAATTTCAAATTATTCAAAGACAACTTTTATATTACTGATTATATACAATCGGCATAATGAAAAATTTTTAATAGATAAAAGGTTCTACAATTCTTAAATTTAAAATAATAATTTATAATAAAACAATACCACCTAAAGATACGCTTGTTTATTCAATTAAAGTATTAATCAAGAAGAAGTAATAATCTTCTTCACATTATTAAGAATTGTTTTATTTAGTAATTAAATATAACAGTCTTGGTGACTTGAAAATAAATTTTAAAATCAACTTGTTTGTCTTTAAGAAATAGGTTTAAATCCTAATTTATCTTACTGTTGCATATCACTTAGGTTATATTCTTTTTCAACCTCTAGAACTGTAGATCTTATGCAAATGAGCTTCTTAAAATCATCCTCCCTAATTAACCAGGTTCAGATTTTTAAAGTGCAAAATTCTTTCTGTTTATTCATCCAAGGATTTCTTTTAACCAGAGGTTTGAAAACCTAATACATTTCAAATCGAATTTAAGGTTTGATTTTCATACATTTGGATAATTTAAGATTTATTTATATAATTTTTAAAGAGTATTTTTTCATACCATCCATGCATAAATCAGTTATTTGTTGAAAAGTAAAATTCTAATGTAGTTCAAGAGAAGTATTATTGATTTTTATATTTTTTTTGTCAGTTATATTTACTCTTAGTTATTTACAAACTCCAAAGTATGTAAATTTTTTACTCTCTCATTAACAAGGTTTTCATTTTAGTTCACTTTGAAAATTTAATTAACTTTTATTTCTGATGATTTTATAATTGGGGTCATCCAAGGAGCTGTCTAGAGCTTAAGTATATTCAAGAGGAAATTTATTTTAATTTTTTAATGAGTAATTAAGAGAAAACTTGGAACATGTGAAGATAATAATAAAATAAGATTGATTTTCAATTATTCTCTATCAAATCTTCGATTGATTCCTTAAACTTATATTCTCATTTTTGAATAATAATAAAAAAAATACTCTTTATAAAAAATGAATAATTTTATTAAATTTTAATAAAACTCATTCCTTCTAATGAAGGGACCTCTTTTGTCCCTATTTCCAAACTATTTAGTCTTAATCTTGTTCTTAAGTCTGTCTATGGGTAAATTCTATTGTTATTGTTTAATTTTCATTTCATAAATTAAGGTATTCCCTCTTGCAACTAGGTCGATGTCAAGGGAAACTAGCCCATTTTACTCCTTAATCTATTAGAAAGAGTAGATTTAAAAACAATATTCCTATTAAAGAATAAAACACCCCTTATTACGGGTTTCAGAGATCAACTTATCTATCAATTAATAGTTATCTAATTGGGTGTTCACAGGTGATTTTCATCAATTAACTTTATTCAATTTGAAGAGGTTACAATTGAAATTATTATTAAGGTAAAATCTCAGAAATAATATCATGTCCAGTCGATGATATTGACTAATTAAGTCTATTAATACTAATAGACTTAACCTAAGAAATATTATCAGCTTTTATTCTAACTATTCAAAGAAATTAATTTATACTCAGTTCATCTAAATTTAATCATTCCCAATTTCTTTTATTAGATAAATATCTAGTATAACTAGGTTCTATATCTTTTTTTCCTAAGCAATTTTCACAAAAATTTTTTCCTTGTCACGAATTTTATGAAATTTAAATCATTTTGCCAAAAGACCTTTGTTTCAAGAGAACTCATGAACATTTAAATAAGAAGCCTCAAATTCAGGTCTTTCTTATTCTATGGCAGAGATATTAGTCGATGAGGGATTACTTAGGATATTCAAAATTATAATCTAGTTTTATGGAAAAGTTCCTCTTAAGTACCCTGCCTCAAGAAGCTAACGAAAGGCAGTCATCTTAGTCTAAGAATTATCGATAAAATTAGTCAGTTTTGCTATTTTAGATACTTACTATTTCTTGAAGACATTTAGAAAAGGTTTGAAGATTATTAGTTCAAATACAAAATTTCCAAGGTATTGAGTAATAATATCTGCATTTAGATTCTTGCAATAATCATTGACACCAAAATTATAATTTTTGTCGTTCTTCTGTATTACAAATTAAAAGTTAAAACAATTTTTATTTTTAATATTTTTGATGATGATTGATTGTTTTTAATAATTATTTCATTTATTTATTTATTATTGATAAT